TGGTAAATAAATCCCTTGGGGAGATTTTTGGCATAGTAGCAGCAGTCAGCAATGTCAGAAGCAAGAGTTGTCCATTCCCCATCTTAACCAAGGAAAGAGAGAAAAGAGATCAGGACTAATTTAAGATGATTGCACTGGGTTGGGGTTTTTTGAGATTTAGGGGTTTGTTGTGTTTTTCTCCACATCAACTTTAGTTAGGTGCCAGGAATATGGAGAAACAGTGGAATCTTATAGAAGGAAGGAAAAACCAACTTACTATGGCCAGCTTTTGTACTTGGTGACACTCACTGTACCTGTGCTAATCTGGTTCTGAAATCAGCCCGTTTATATCTAGTAAGTCCAAGTTGTGTCAATATTGTGTCAGGGGAATGGTGAAACTTTCCTGTATTCTTTCTATCTAATTCATGCCACCAAACTCTAATGCATATATACATCAAGGACTCCAAACAGAAGCCTAGATAAATCCCTGAATTTTTTTCCCCTTTGACCTTGTCTTGAATCCAATTGAGACCATGAGGTGCAGGATTCCCAGACAGAGCTATCCACTAACACCCTCCTAACAAATTCAGCATTTAAAACTTGGGCAGTTTTACTCAGCTTGTATGAAACTCAGATGATTTCTCAAGGAACTGAAATTGTAGGTGCATTCAGGACTAATTATTCATAGGACTAAGGTGTGGAGAAGAAAATCACCAGCAAACATTTAATGACTATTCACTTCAGGTGATTCTGTGTCCCATATTTTGCTGTTGTGCTCAAGGCTGAGCTCAACTCCCTGCAACTGCCTGAGATTAAAGCCATCCTTTCATTCAGTCACTGGCAGAGAGCCTCAAAACATCAGACAAGCAGTAATTCACCATCCAAACTCAAGGTATCAATGGTCTTGCGGGGGACAGGTTGGACTGAAGTGTGTGTGTGTGTGTAGAAAGGAGCAGATACAGCTTAGAAACAGAGAAAAGTATGCAGAAGCGGCATGCAAAAGCCTATTGTCAAATAATGGATGAAACAAGGAATTTTTTCTTCATTATCTTAATCCTGTGTTTAGAGAGCAGGATTTTGCATATTCCTGCCAAATACACAAAAGACATGGGAGATTAAGGATGCTGTTTCCTGTTTTTCTTCGCAATTGGAACAACTTGAGTTTGTATGCTGCTCACTGTCTCTCCTACTGTTGTGTCAAAAAGAATAACAATAAAGAAAGAGGCATTGGAGGAAAAGTGACTGATGCCAGCTCCAGGGGCAAAAGGCAGAAAGCTGCTGCCCCTGTTCATGCTAATCCAGAAAGGTCTGGTTGGATATTTGGGAAACTAAGTGAAGGAACACGAAGCAGCTGAATCCAAAGGGCTGTGTTTTTGTGACTGCAGCAGGAGTTACTATCAGACATCACATTCATAATAACAACAGCAGAGCAGTCCCAAGAGAGACAGAACAGGCTTGGGGATTTGATTCAAAGTTTTTGTAACTAAACAGGAAAACTTCTACTTTTGACAAGGGCAGATATTGACAGGACAAGGAGAAATGGGTTTAAACTGAAAGAGATTTAGATGAGATGTCAGGAAGAAGTTCTTCCCTGTGAGGCTGGTGAGCCACTGGTGCGGGTTGCCCAGAGAAGCTGTAGCTGCCCCACCCCTGGATGGGGCTGTATGAATTTCATTCCTAACTCTAAACTAAGGAGTTAAATCAGGCTGTTTCTGAATAAAAATAACATATGCAGCTGGTGAGGATATCATACTGGATCATCTTTATCCTGCAAGGCATAAGGACAGCACTTTACCTTCACTCTTGCACTGGATAGTGTAATGAACAGGGGTGTTGGTTTCCACAGGTTTCCAAACCACCTGCACTGCATCCTTGTATACCTCCACGATGTCAGGTGGTGGAGGGCTGGGAGGAACCTCTGTTGACAGGAGACACAAACCCCAGTGACTGTTAGCAGTAGCACTGCTGTGATACAAAACTCTACATTCAGCATGTCTCAGTTACAGATATTACTTTTATATATATGACATATATATGTTTCATTTATATACACACACATACACACACATACCTAGTGATGAAAAAATTTAACCATCTATAATTTAAACTTAGTATTATGATTTTGTCTTGGAGTGGCTCTTAATCCATGAGAGAAAATAAAGAGTGAAGAAAAGGGAATGAACCCTACAATATATGCCACTTTACCAGACAAGTACTGTGGCTGTGAAATATATCAGGGGAGAGATTGCCCTCTGAGCCTATCTACAGAAATCTCAACTCACAGGTACTTACAGGTCACATTTTTGGCCAGAAGTACTTATAATGTCTATTTCTGTAGCTACTTCTTCTCTTACCTGCTTTTCTTATGACACAAGAAGTGGATGCTGAGCCCAGGGAGTTTGTGGCCACACAAGTGTAAATACCAAAATCATCAGCATTAACAGAGAGAATAGTTAACAGCTGGAAGTGTTTGAGTGTGGATGAGATGAGGATCCGGCTGCTGCTGTGGACAGGTATCCCATCTGAAAAGCAGAAGACGGGAGAGATAAATACCTGTAAATTGATACCAAGGTGTCTAAACCCCTCCTTGCACTCCTGTCCCAGAGGTTAGGGACTCTTTAGAGGGGTGTCAGTGTCACCTCTGAACCAGCTGGTGTGCAGGGAGGAGTGAGCTGCCGTGCGGCATGACAGCGTCACACACTGTCCGACGGCAGCAGCCTGGTCAATGAGCTCCTCAGTGAATGATGGGGCTGCAAAGAAGAGAAAAACCAGCAATTCAGAATAGCCAGGAGAATTATGTGGGAAAAAAATGCATGCAGGACATTGGAAAGCATTTTTATTTTGCTCAAGAACCTTTCTGGTTCATGCTTTGGCATTCCTTTGACCACTGGTAGGAGAACCCCCAGGCATTGAGCACACAGGTGCAGGAGCTCTGTTCAGCCCCATGTGACGGCTCATGCATCATAATTCAGATGGATCTTGGAAGGCCCACGGGCAATATCTTCATCACCCAGCCTGCTGGTACAGCTAAGGCAGCAGAACAGCTCAGAGCAGAGACAGCTCATGTCACAGCAAGAACGTTCCTCTGGCCAAGCCTAAATGTGAGGGCAAAACTAAATTATGCTCTTTCAAGGATTAGGAGATCAATTAGGACAGGAGGAAATGGTCTCCAGTTATAGCAGGGGAGGCTCAGATTGGATATTAGGGAAAAGTTCTTCATGAAAAGGGTTGTCAAGGATTGGAACAGACTTCTCAGGGAAGTGGTGGAGTCACCATCTTTGGAGGGATTTAAAAGACATGTGGATGTGACACTTGGGGACATGCTTTAGTGATGGCCTTGCCAGTGCTGGGTTAATGGTTGAACTTGATGATCTTAGAGATCTTTGCCAACCAAAATGATTCTATAACCATGACAGATAAAAGATGGATATGGGAGGAGGATAAAAACAACATAGTGCATCAAATCTGCTCATGTCTCTACAGGAATGGTTCTCCAGGGTTTTTCTCCATGGTGGGCAAGAGCTATCAGCCTCCCTCACATGCTTTTCCCAGTGTTTGCCTGTGCTCTGCTGAATAGTAGGGCAATAATGTGACCTCAGGAAATGCTCCTGATAAAGTCAAGGGGAAACTCATCTGGGCAAAAGGAAGTTCAGTCTTGCTGAAACACTGGGGCTGACCCATCATTTTTCATTCCATATCTCTAGCGGCATGTCTGGTCCTTATATATACATGCAGGACTGGAGCACAGGAATTCATAATTTCCTGTTTCTGCCTTCTCACCCATGGATACTGCTTTTATTCTCTTTCTATCTTACACCTAGATTGTATTCCTTTGCAGTGGCTTCCTAGAATGGCTCCAATTTACAAACAGTGCCATGACAAGAGAGTTTTGGTAGTTATGATATAAACAAGGAAGTTGGTTCATATTATGTGGGTTGGTCTTGGTCATCAAGACAATCATTGCAGATCCATCCTTAGAAACTGGCCTCACACAGCACTAGCATATATGATACTTCATAGTGATACTTCATGATGAAACAAACTGATAACTTATGCCATAGCAATACCTTTCTCCTTTGGCACGAGACTTGGTAACTTGAATGAAGGGAGTGCTGATTTCCTCTTCAGAGATCCTTCAGCGCCTATTAACAGCTCCTTTTCTGCTGCCTCACTTCTCAGCTCGCCAAACTCTGTTTTGGGAAAGGGTGAGAAGTCATTCCAGGCCATCCTTCTCCCCATGGCATCCATTTACAGAGACAGTTTTGCCATTCACACTTAACAGTTCAGCAGTCACAGGTTCTCTCATTAACCAGCCTTCAGTCATCAGGGAAGGCTGTGACAGCTATTACAAACAGAATGGTGTCCTGGAAGAACAGGGAGTATCCAGGGATGGCAGAGAAGAAAGGACTGATTCTGATGCCCAATAGTAGGGTGACTTCACCAGCTTCTCCCAGTCACTTTAGCTTTAGAGATTTACCATGGTCAGATGATAACTGTCACAAGGAAAGCATCACTCAGCCCTTCTGTGCAACCTCAGACAGGGGAATTTAAGCCCCTTCCATCAGCAGATTAACCCAGCTGACTGCACTGAAGTAACCTAGTAACAGAGCTAGTGGTGGAGCTGAAGAATGCTAGTTGCATAATCTGTCACTCTCAGTTTTGCAATCCCAGTCTAACCACAGCATCAGATATGCTGGGGGAAAAAGAAAAAGTCAGATTTAGCAGGGCCCAGTTACAGCAGCAAATCTGTGAAGGATCAGAATGAAATACTCACCTTCCTCTCCCTCTGGCTCAGGAGATGTCTTTCCTTTCAGGATTCTTGAAATATGGGCAACAGACGCTTTTACTTTCTTCTTCAGACTCTGCTCCACTGACTGCTCCATTGAATGAGACCTTGCATATGGCTTAAAGAGTCCTGGTTTGGTGTTGAAGGAGCTTTTCTGCTTACCACTGGAGTCCTTATGGGAGCTATGCTTTTCTTTATGACTCTCGGCCCCTTTCCCCATGGCTAATAAATTAGTTGCCTTTGAATCCTCAGATATTTCCAAACGGTTCTTCCTGTTCTTGTCCTCTGCCTGTTCCCTGATGCACAGTCTTTTATCCTTATGCAGATGTCCTGAAGGAGGGGACCTTGCCCTTTCACCAAGAGGTATAAACCGTCTACGAACTGGTTTGGGTGAAGGCTTCTTGTAGCACAGAAATTCAAATGGAAAATAGACAATGTCATACAAGTCAGAGAAATTCAAATAGGCAGGTTCCACCTCTGATATGTCAAATTTTTGAGGGCCACTGCCAGGACTGGGTGTTTCATCTGACAGGTCTTTGATTTTCACTAAAGAAACTTCAGGGTGTTTACCAGTGTCCTTGCTTACTGGACCTTGACTGAGTCTTTTCCCAGTATCCAGGCTCTCTGTTGAGGAAACACTCTCTCGGCTGGAGGTGGGGCTCTCAAACGCCAAGTCGTCCAGGTGTTCACATTCATGAGGAGCTGTCTGTGCTCCCTGTTCTTCCAGTACCCCTGACTCCTCACTCAGGACAAGATAGGGTTCTTCAAGGTCATCGTGCTCAAAGATTTCTCTTTTACCCCCTTGTACAGTAGGGAAGGAGGTGTTCATGGGTTCTTGGCTACCTGGGCCTTTGTGGAACATCTCTGTGGGAGGAGAAACGTGCTTTCTGCTTTCCTTCTCACCAGAAACTGACTCTGCCCAAACATTCATCTCTTCAGAGAGGGAAACCATCTCATCCACTAAGCCCTCCAGCATGGCAGACTCCTCATCACTGTAAAAAGAAGACCTATGATGTGAGACCTCCTGACTGTGATACTTGTGGAGCGACGGTGAGACAGCTTTTCCCGCATCAGATCTTCCACTTTGTAAGGCAACGCCTCCACCCTCACCATAAACCTTTGGATGTTCCTCACATTCTAGTTCATGGTCTGAAGCTGGAGCAACTTCTGGTTGTTGAGCAGTGAAGGCACTTGGATGCTCACCCTCCAGACCATCAGAAACCTCATCACTGGGTCTGGCAGCCCTGTGCTGTTCAAACACCTGATGTCCAGCTTTGGGGACAGAAGTAGCCACAGTCTGTCCAGTTGCTTGGCTTCCACTAGCTGTCACAATAGATCTCATCTCACTGTGAGGTGGATGTTGTTTTTCACTCTCATGGACTGAAGGGAGAACAGTGCTTTGAGAGGACACAGTTGTTGCCAGGTGTCTGCTTTCCAGAACAGCAGAAACCATGCTGTGACCTTTAGGAACTTTCTGAGGTTCAGCTCCTTCATAGGCCAAACTGGGAACAACCTCTGTGACTGCTGAGCTTTCACTCCTCAGAACAGCAAGACTGTCCTTGCTGTGAGCTAGCTGTTTCCTTTCAGCCTGCTGTGCTTCCTCGGAAACTGAAGTCAGCGTTGATTTTGGTGGTGGGACTTCTGGAATAGCGAGGTGCTCTCCCTTCAGGATGACTGATGCTGTGTCTGTGTGAACAGCAGCCTTCTTGTGTGCTTGGCTTTCACCACTATGGGCTGATGGTGGAGTAATTCCTGTAATGGCCGGTCCTTCATCCTCCAGCACAGCAGATCTCACCTCTTTATGGGTCTTCAGCTTCTGAAGAGTACCTTCACCAGCTGTGAGGGTACCTGACTGTTTCCCCACCAGGACAGTAGCTGCTGGAACACTTTGCCCAGGAAGTTCATGACTTTTGTCTTTACATACTGGAAGTGAATCGGTTTCTGTTTGTTCTGTCGGAACAGCAGAGGTTTCATGCTCCATGGGTTCAGACTCAGCAATGCTATGAGCAGAAGTTTCTTCATCTGAATGTTTCTGCCTTTTGTCCTTCCAAGGTGGAACTGGGGCTGTCCTTTTGATAAACAAGCTTCCACCTTTTTGGTCTGAATGGATGTCAGTACTGTGAGCAGACTCCTGGGGCAGACACACACCTCCTTTACTTGTAGGAGATGACTTGGAGGTGCTCTTTGACTGGGTGAGGGTTGAAATAGACTCTCCACTCTCCTGAAAAGCAGTGTCAGAGGCATAACGAGAGGAAGATTTACCCTCTGTGCTCTCATGTTTTTGATCTGATGATGTAGTTACATCTGAGAACTGGGCAGCTAGAATGGGGCTTTTCCCTTCCAAATCTTCAATGTCCTCCTCAATCTCAGTAGCTTTGGACTTCTTTAGTAAATGTTTCCTATTTTCACTCCTATGAGGTAACACTGGAAGTCTCTCTACCTGTTGCACAAAAGCAGTTGGGCACCCATTACCCTCACAATGTGTGGAAGGAGAGGTCTGCTTTCCTGAACAATCCTTGCTGGCTCTCCTAACATCCTCTTGCTTTGAAATGTCTACAGAACATCCCTTACCAGGCCCCATGGAAATGTCACAGTGGTCACTGCCTTCAGGACAACTTTCCTGTGACAATACATCAGAGTCTTCTTCCAAAATATCTTGTTCCCTCAATGATCTTGAGGCTCTCAGCCTGTAGTCATCCAGGGAACGGCTTCGGCTGGCACCAGCAATGGCAGGATGTGGTGGTTTCCGGGCAGTGTCAAATGATGCTGATTTGGTCAAGGATCCAAGCAGACTTTCCCTGCGATCGTTTCCTTCTTCTTCTTCTTCCAGTTCAAACTGCTCTAGAAGGGGTTCACGTAGACCACTGAGGGGAACCTTTGAATATCCAGCTTTCCGGAAAGTCCTTCTGGCTCTGTCCAGGTGCCTTCTGAACTCCCTGCCTGGTGAAGAAGGTGCCCTTGCAGGTAGCTCAGTTGCTTGGCTGTAGAAAGTGCTTTTAATGACACTCTGCCTAGGAACACAGGCAGATGGCTTTTCTGTCCCATCCCCAGCCTTTTCAACTCTCTCCTTATCAGATAAAGATGTGTCTGGTTTTCCTTTCTGATGCAGATGCAATGTGCTTTCTGTGGAAGTCCTCACTGATGAAGGCTCAGCAGAACCACTTCTTTGAGATGGCTCTGCTCTTTCATCTTGAAGACTGGGATGGAGCCCCTCCTCTTTCTCCTGTAAGATACTTGCCATGAGCTCTTTGCTTTCTGTAGGTGATGTACCCCCCACCTCAGCTCTCATCGAAGCATACTTCCTCCTCATGGGTTTTACTGGAGGGATTGCGATTTTGGAGTGCTTCTCTTCACTTGAATACTTTGGAGGCTCTTGATGGGTTGGCATGTCAAACATGGGTGAGTGCAGTTCAGGTGTAGAGCCAAAGTGCCTCTTCCTGGGGAAATTAGAGTTCTCATTGTCTGAAGAGGAGCCACTGGTACTGGATGAAGTGCTTTCCTCAATGAGGTGTCGGGAGATGGCCAGGGAGTTGTTGTCATGAGTCCTTTCAAGGATTTCTGGGATAGACCTCATTACCAGGATGGATTTATAGCACATTAAAGACCGCTGGGAAGCAAAACAAAATACAGTGCAATGAGATAGAAACATACTGGGAATATGGTAAAGCAAACATTCCAAAATGAACTCCTCTACTCTTAAATACCACACCTATGAGTTTAACAGCACATTGTCACCCTTTTGTACATGTCACCAATCCAGGCCTCATTTGCTCTCCAAGTCTTCCTCTTCCCTTGTTCACAGAGGGGAAACTAAATTAACTTCAGGGGACACACTTGCTGTTTTGGATGGGGAAGCGGGACCCTGCTTGAGATCTCTGAAGTCAATTTGGCCACCCAAAGCAGATGGAAAAGGAGTTTTTAATATAAAACATCAGATAAGAGACTTGCTGGAGTAAAAGTCTTTAAATCCATCGACTGTAATACAACCTACAGTGACTTAGGCCAACAGAAGACCTGCCATACTGTAGGAGTTTATCTGTTCTAACTCCTGCCATATGAGACATCTCAGTTGAAGTTGTGCACCTGGCCTTCCATTCCAGCTAGCAGAGAGCAACTGGTGTCTTCAGAAGGCAATCCAGTTATTTCAGAGAACTTCAAGAAAAGAATAATCTTCTTGGGACCTGTCTTTAATTCAGCACCGATTGCAAAGGCAGCTGAGGACACCTAACTTAGACACAACCTTGTGTCTTACAGGAACCTGCATGAGATCAGGTGGTTTCCAAGCGGCAAAAGCTTAGATAATTAATTCCTGACATATCCATCAGCCATACTCTCCTGGGTTTATTCCTCATTCCCAGACAAGCTGAGATCTCTGCTGAGCTGTGTCCTAACCCTATAGACTTTAAAAGATTCAAATGTAATTGAATATATACTGAAAAAGAACAAACATTGATTAAGGGCAACTCACCTGCCACTTGCTTCGAGCCACAATGAATTTGAGCTGCTTGGTATTAATGAAATGAGCTGCTTCGAGGGGGACATTATGCTGCAAGGAGGAATACGAAGGAAATAATTGGTTTAAAAAAATTAGCTTCATTTCCTGAGAAGTCTTTTATTAGAATTTATTCCTTACAAAATGGTTTAATTTAAGAAAGTTACAGTAGAACAAATGCTACAATCCCCTCATGGAGATTTAATGACTAACAAAGAACCAAGATAAACTTACCATGAACCACTTGTGGGAAAGACAGTCCAAAGCACTAGGCCTGGCTCTGGAAAGAGAAAAGATCAACATTTTAGTAGCAAGTCACTTCCAACAGCAACCACAAGATCTTCCTGAAGATGCCTTCTTCACATTGACACAGGTACACTTTGGCATGTGTCCTTAGGCTGCTGTTTGAGAGCTGAGAAGCCAAGAAGACAGACAGCAGCTCTCAGCCCAAGGTTTCCCTCCCTTGAGGTGAAACAGTCCTCCTTTTTCAGTCTGAGTCTCCCCACAGATCTTCAGGTAGACCCCATGGCCTGTTCATGGGTGTCCAGAGCAGCTCCTAGAGTGACTTTTTGCTTCTTTAGGTGGCCAGGGTGAAAAGAACTTTGGCAGCAGGCAGAAAGAATAGAAATGAAATTAAAAAGCAGTTGCCTGCAAACATGCCTTCAAGCATCCTTTTGTACTTGAAATTGCTTAATGAATGTGGTTAATGTTACTTAATTTTCACATAATTCCCTCTTTATCAGTCCTTGTTCCTCCCACTCCTCTATGCCTTTTCAGAAACTCATCTGCCTGATGCAGGCAGGGGGTAAAGACATCACCATACCAGAAACTGGTCAATTTGACAGATATCCAAGTTGTGGTTTTGCTAATGGGGATTAATAAAGAACAATCAAGGCAAAACACCCCACATCTCACTCAGCTTTCTACTTTTCAACACAACCACAGATCTGATGAGCTGAGAGCTGCCCACTGAGACACCAACATCTCTGCACATTGGCTGCAGGAAACAAAGAAGGGCACTCACGTGGGGTTCTGCTGTAGGATCCCTTTCATGAAGTCCTTTGCATCTTCACTCAAGTGAACAACATCAGGAATGGTCCAGGAGATTTCCCCATTCTGGATATTTAGAAGGGTTTTTCTGTCATTCTCCCCAGCAAATGGAGACTTGCATGTGAGGCTTATTTATTGAACACCATAAAATAAGAAGAAACAGACTTTAGACAGGAGCACAGATGCTTACGTGGGGTTTTGAAATACTTGAGGGACTTTGCGTGGGACTTGCAATGCTTGTGAGCAATGTTTTCCCTAACAGAGCATCTTTCACCCCAGCATTACATGGCACTTGACTGAATTATTTATCCCTGTTTCATAGATAAGGAATTAAGGGTTTGATTTTGTACAGCTGCCATGGACTGTTGGCTAAAACAGGGAAGAGGGAGACTGAACCTCATTCACTGCTCTCATTGCTCACTGCAAGGAGAGCAGCTCTCAGGTCATCAAGCAGGGAACTGACCAAAGCCCTGGGCAACCAGGAAAGGAGTAAACCACAAAAAGAATTGTTCTTATCCTAGAAGGACACAATACTATGCTCAAATCCCTCACTTCCAGGTACTGGAGGGCTCTGATAGACAAAGGGATATTGAATTAGTGTTTCCAAGATTCATTTACCTTAAATACGTGATGACTCCAACAGCCCTGGAGAGAAAGGGAACACAAATGTCAGGTGTCTGTCACTATTTATCTATTCTTTTCAAGCATGCAGCCCCTCTTCCTACCAGTAGACACCCTGGCACAGTAAGATCACTTTCTCATTTTTCCAAGGAAAATAAATCCCCAAGGCTATTGCTTTCACCCTTCAATTTTCTCCCCTTCAATATTTTTAAAAATTGTTGTCAAGTAATCCTCCATTTTTAAAGCACAGATAGAGGAGAGGACTCAATGCCTTTTCTAGGAAGTCCATTAGAATCATTCTCCCTAGCTGCTGCCTGTAATAGAGATCATCTCCTCTAAGATGCTTCTTTGGAATAAGTAGCTGTCAGAGTTCAATTATGGCTGAAAACAAATAGACAGAAGGAGCTTTAAAGAGCCCTGATGACTTTTGCATTCTCACTGTTCACTTTCACTTTCTTGTGTTATTATCACTGCTCCATTTACTTATTAACAGTAAATGGAAATTTAGGCCATTGAGGGCCTGAAAAAGCTTTTTAGGAAGATGACACATTACCAGATATCAGTTGCTTTTGACACTGGTGACTGAGAAACAATTTCTGGGGCAACAAACTCTGGAGACCCATATTTGCTGAACTGAGGCTCAAAGGGTGTGATCTTCTGAGCAAATCCAAAGTCACAGATCTTCAGGTCTTCCCTTTCAGGATAAACCATGAGGATATTCAGCGGCTAGTAAATGAAATAAAATAAAATGAGAAACTTTTCTTGAGAGCAGGCAATATTTTCAGTTTTAAGTATGAATAATTCAAACAGAGAATGCCTATGCCCTGGCCAACAAGAGGCTGTGAAAAGCCAAACCTGCCATTTCTCATTACCTTGATGTCCAAATGAAGAATGTTTCTGTCATGAAGGTATTTGAGTCCTTCCAAAATTTGCTTGATATATAGTTTGACCTAAAAATTGAATCAATTATTAAACAATTATTAAAGAGTAATAGTAAGTAGGAGGGTCCCTGATTCCACCAAGATTTTTAATATATGAGAGAGGGAGAGACTGAACTAGAAATACTTTTAAAACTAGAATAACCTTTTTGTATTAGTCCTGCAGCTGAAATAAGATGTGAACCAAACATCACAGAATCATTGAATGTTAAGGGGTTGTAATGGACCTTACAGATCATCTGGTCCCAACCCCCTGCCCTGGGCAGGGAAACCTCCCACCAGACCAGCTTGCTCAAAGCTTAATCCCAACTGGTTTTGAACACTGCCAGGGTTGGGGCAGCCACAGCCTCCCTGGACAACTTGTTCTGGTGTTTCATCAGCTTCACATTAATGAATTTATTCCTAATATCTAATCTATCCCAAATGTATAGTCATTGCTCCTTGTCCTAGCACTACAGTTCCTAACAAAGAGTCCCTTTCCAGCTTCCCTATAGCCTCTCCAGATCCTGGATGGTTTCACTGAGGTCTGGTTGGGCACTGGAACAGCTCCCCAGGGAAGTTGTCACAGCACCAAGACTGGCAGAGTTCAAGAGGCATTTGGACAATGCTCTCAGGCACATGGTGTGATTCTTGAGGATATCCTGTGCACGGTCAGGAGCTGGACTAGGTGATCCTCAAGGGTCCCTTCCAACTCTGATTATTCTGTGATTCTGTGATATTTGATAGGGTTAGCTGACATTTGATCTTTAAACATCCCTCCCACCCCAAACTATTCCATGATTCTATGATGTTCCCTCTGAGTATTCTAAGAAAAATCAAATTTACCAATAAATATAAGACATGCGGCTACTAGATGGGAGATGTGAAACATTTTAAACTTTGAGCACCAAGGATATAAAAAACCCCTAAAACCCCCATAATTTCAGGCTTTGGTTTGGAGATTGAAAGGGAGTGGAATGAAGCACATTTACAAGGCAATAAAGTGTTTTAAGTGAAGAAATGTGAGTGATAGCAAAGTAATGATGATAATAGAGCAAATATCATTTGTATTAGGCTGAATGCAATGCTGGTGGTCAAAATCACTTTGAGGAAGTTATTGCCCAAAGAAACTCAACTTAGCTAAATGGAAACACATTTTAAAGGCTGATTCTGCTTTGACAGATTATCACTGGTTCCAAGATATTCCTCATATTCCAAAAGTAAAATGCAACTGGAACCAACTCTGGGCTTTCAAATGAGAAAGAGAAATTACCTCTGCTTCAGTGACCACACTTTTCTTGAATAAACGGTCAAGGAGCTCTTCATTGGAGCATCTGACAATGGCATTAAGGGACAACAGAACTATGTAGAAAAGCTTAGTTTTACTGTGTAACCCCCTCTGTCAGCTGACAGCAGAATTCACAAAGTGAGCTCTGGCAATATGATGTGTATGTAGTTCATTAAATTCTCTGGTGAAGCAGTGTCCTTCTAGCAGAATTGGACTGCTTTAAACCTGTGCCTCCACAAGCAGGAGCTTGGTATCATTTGTGCTAAAATCTATGAGTTTTCTGCTCTGCACTGCATTTTCCTGGTACTCACCCAGACTGGATCTCATGGAAGCAGAATCCTTAACTTCCAGATATTTCAGACAAGAATTTTGGTGCTTAACAATTCATTCATACTTGTATATGCAAGTATGATTTTTTCAACCAGCAGAAGCACAGTACTTCAGTGAAGCTCTCAGAGCTGTGCTATCCTGCAGTGCAGTGCAGAGAGGGATTGTGCATGTCATTTTGTCTCAGGCAAAACCTAGAAGTGGTTAACTGCCAAGTTATTTAATAAATGAACTCTGCCGAGCCTCCTCAGACAAGCAGCACAGAAAAGGATACAACTCCAGAATCAAAATCAGTGTTTTTCTTGTTTCAAACTCATCCAGGAGCCTGGTAATCCGGTCGTGGGACAGAGAGGCAAGAATATCCCTCTCTTGATGCGCTCGAGCCTTCGTTTTGCTTCGTAGAGGTATGAATTTAGCAGCACAAGACACCCTGTTCCCTTTGTGTACAACTCGTTTCACAAAGCTGAAGCAGCCCCTGTGCAGGAATCAAAGGACAAGCCCTGTTCAGACTTGGTTCAAAGACAGAGGTCTTTGAATCTGCAGCAGGCAGAGAAGTTTCTATATCTTGGCCTTTGACAGCTCCCTTCTGATCAGCGCTTAAATTCACCAACATAAAAAGCTCATTGCCCTGTATGTGAGGAGCTGTTGCCCTCTCCTGGCTGTTTCCAAAGCGAAGCAACGTGTTCCCATCAAGGTTAAAGCTGTTTCAGGTGATACAGCCTCATGCTGACAAAGGCTGATGCTCATGGATCTCTTGGACTGACATGATGTTTGTACAAATGTCTTTGTAGGCTTGTGATGCTCACATTGCCAAGAAGCTGTACCCAGGGATCAATCCTGTGAGCTTCTGGCTGGTTCTTTTTATGATTGGAGCTACCTGGACATATGGGCTGTAGGTGCTCTCCCATTCTCTGCCAGAAACCTCAGGAAAGCATCCTCAGCACACCTGCAATGCGTTGAGCTCCCACTTCTGCCTGTACTTTCATCACAGCTAGGCCCACCTCTGCCTCAGCAGCTCACATGGGCAATTAGATATTCCCTATCACTGATGGTATAACATTGGAAAATTCATTTACCTTCCAATCTCCTGCTTCACCTCATAATGGGAATGGAGCTTTCTCCTGGTGGGCATTTTCTTTCCTTCTTGGTCTTTCTTAGCTTTGGAAATGAAGGAAAATATAAAGGTTAATATTCAGACAACAATGTTCTTGGTAATAGTGTGTGAAGTTATTACAGGGCAATTTAAGGTGGGAAAAATTACAGGGGTCCTCTAAACTTCCTCACACAATTAGGTGGAGCTGTTGGATAAGAGAACATGTCAATAAGAATTTTGGGGTTGCCCAGAGCAGCTGTGGCTGCCCCATCCCTAGAAGTGTTGAAGGCCAGGTTAGATGGAGCTTGGAGCAACCTGATCTAGTGGAATGTGTACATGCCCATGGCAGGGTGGTTGGCATGAGGTGATCTTTAAGATACCTTCCAACCCAAACCATTTTAGAATGCTTTTGTATAGGATCCTGCCCTACTGGCAATATACAAATACTAGACAGGAATACAGAGCAGATACCATATGGGTACCAGAACATGACTGCAACACATTACATGTTGCCATGTCTATGGAAGCAACTCCTGCAGCTAAAAGAGTGGCATTACCTTCACGTACAGTAAGTTCTGCTTTGCACAAAACTTCCCCTCCTGCATTTTTGGCAACACAGGTATAAACACCACCATCTTCCAAGGTAGCATTGTCCACAAGTAAGAAATACGTTGTTCCTTCCTTCCCTTGATGTATCCTGTTGCTGTCTGTCAGCAATGAAGTGCCCTGAAAGAATGACATGACATTTTGGCACTGGAAAAGCTAAGATGGAAACAGATATTTCTCCTGTTCAAGAATCAAGATGCAGGAGCACAGCTACAATGCAGATCTTTTTAGGTAGCAAACCTCATTAACAAAATACTGGCTGAAGAAGTTCCCGCGTCTCACTGTTCCCATTCAGGAAAGAATTCCCATACAGGCTTGGGAGGGATTACTAGTGCCACGCGGTTTATTCTTCAGCTCTCCCAGCACACCATTCCTGAGCAGTCAGCCCAAAGAACATATGGATCAGCTGCTTAGCTCCTGCCTGGGCTCTAGCTTGTTCTGATGCTTGTACTGCTTTAAAGTTATATGAGGAGTAGCTGAGGGAACTAGGGGTGTTTAGCCTGGAGAAAAGGAGGCTCAAGGGATGACCTTCTCCCTCTCTACAACTACTTGAAAGGAAGTTGTAGCCAGAAGGGGGTCAGTCTCTTATCCTAGGCAACTAGTGACAGGATGAGAGGAAATGGCCTCCAGCTGTGCCATGAGAGGTTCAGGTTGGAAATCAGGAAGAATTTCTTTACTGAAAGGGTTTCCAAGCATTGGAACAGGCTGCCTAGGGAGGTGGTGGAGTCACCATCCTTGTAAGTGTCCAAGAAGGGACTGGACATGACATGTAGTGCTATGGTGTAGTTGGCATGGTGATGTTTATTCAAGGTTGAGCTCAATGATCTTGGAGGCCTTTTCCAACCTTAATGGTTCTGCAATTCTCTATATATTCATAAAGGCTATGAAGAAAGGGACAGGAGGGAGTGTGTACAACACAGAAGGCAGATTATGAGTATTAGTAAAAGGTCCTTATGGAAGAAAAATGCAAGAAAAAGATGTATAATATGATATAATACAATAAATGTGAAGTAACGCAACCTATTCTTCCACATACAATGTCAGTCTCTGAGCTGTTCCTTATTACACAGGAGCAAACTTTGAGTTAGAGTAAATCACTCCACGGCAGCATCAACTCAGTGCTTGGTGGGAGTCAAAAAGTACCAGATGTTAGAAACATTTAGGGAAGAAATGAAGAATAAGACACAAAGCATCATTTAATAAATCTTTGGCTAGCTCAGGGTGTGGTACTGTTGCAGCAATATCCTTTCTATAACAGCTTCCAGATCAGGATTGACAGAGCAAGTTGGGGCTCCTCAGCCTGGAAGGGAGGCTCTAGCAATATGACATGAGCAACAGATTAGATAAACCTGTGGAGAGCTTTACTGTGGGTTAGTAAATAGATAAAAGTTCAGGTGCCTTATGATAACTCTGAACTGAAAATGTCAGAGCCTGCAAGCAAAGTGTTCCAGACCAGTCTGGATGGGACTTGGAGCACCCTGGCCTAGTGGAAGGTTCCCTACCCATAGTAGGGAGGTTGGAACTAGGTGATCTCTAAGGTCCCTTCCAACCCAAACCTTTCTATGATTAGATGAATATCAACAGGGTGTATAATCTATTCTTGCCTTGTTTTTATTCTTTCTAAGGTGTAAGATGGGTGCATGTGAGTGTGTGTGTGTGAGGGAGTTCTTTGCATTTCTGTGTGGTTTTTAAGTTTATTTTATTTGTCTGAGTAGCTCATGCTTGCACTTGCCACACAGAAAGAAAAAAAAATTGAATGAATCTCGTATGTACAAAACACTTAGCTGGACATAACAAGTTACAGACAATTGTTGTAGACCAACACTGACTTATTTCAGGGGCACAACAATATTCTAAGGAACAATAAATGATTCCTCTTTCCTTTTTATGGGATATTTTTTGTCCTTGTCACACTCATTTTACCAGTTAGTTGCAGAAAAGATCAGATGAGATGTTAGGAAGAAATTTTTCACTATTAGGGTGGTCAGGCACTGGAATAGATTGCCCAGGGAGGTGGTGGAGTCACCATCCCTGGAAGTGTTTAAGAGGCATCTGGATCTGATGCTGGAGGATGTGGTTAAGTGTTTAGGGGTTACAGTAGAGTTACAGATCTTAGTAGAGTTACTAAGATCATTGAGGGTGGACTCAATGATCTTAGAGGTCTCCTCCAGCCTTTATGATTCTGTGATTCCATGATTCTATACAGAGCCTGAAGTCACACTGACAACCAGAATAAATCACTCAATCCCATCCCTGCCTTCCAAACTGCAAGACACAACTCAGTGGTACTCAGGCAGGAACCAACCTCCCTTCCTGCTCATCTTGGTCCCCAAAACCACCTTGGTTGCCCTGTCTGCTAAAGGATCCACAGTAACACTGAAGACACCACAGGATAAGGTGCATGGGTGCTGGTTCCAGTGAGAACAACTAGTTCAATAAAGTCTGTAGACACGTCAGTGTAAGAGATGTGGGATTAAAGAGCAGAAGAAATTTTCTGTGGAACTACAGCATTACAGTCCTTTCTGAGGTTCTCACTCTCAGCCAGAGAAAAGTCTTCACTTACCTTAAACCACAAAACGATGGGCTGAGGGGTTCCTTCAATGACTGCCTGAAATTTGGCACGTTCCCCAGAGTTCACCTGCACATCCTCTATTGTCACTTGCATATAGGGAGGACCTAGTGAGACACAAGGGTTTGATGCATGTACAATGCCACAGTTTCATTCCTAGTGTGCTGATGTAGGCTGAGCTACTCAAATGGGATTTACAGAATTGGCCATTCAGGATATAACACTAACTTAATGTCAAATCATGATATACCACATATGTATTTGGATTTCTTTATACTGGCATTACTTTCAGGCTTTTTATCTTCAAATTAATCTATTCCTTTTTGTTGAATAAACAGTTACCACTAAAAAAATTCAGTATTTAAAAAACAGTCATCAGGAGCTGTTACCAAAAAAAGAAGACAATGACAATCATGGAGTGTGGGAGAAGGAAACAGGGTTTGTTCTTACTTGTTGGGGTCTTCTCCTCAGTCTTATACACACGAGTTCTTTCCGTGGTCTCAATATAAACTTCACTGTGTACATCCCAGACGACATCTCTCTCTCTTCTGTACCAGTCTCCTGTCCCTGTGTCTGGTGATGTTCTTTCACAAAGCCCAAGAGAAAAGATTATGATACAGTCACATAAAACTAGAGGAGCAAGATTGCCACTGCCATTGATCTGTGTGTTTAACCACCAGACAAAGTCATCCACATAAAATAGAAGAATAATTTTGGTTTGGAATTAATTAAATAATAATAATAATAA